CGTTCTAGTTCGGTATCGAGGGTATTCGTGAAGACCTTGTCAGGATCGTCGGCATCCCCGTTGAGGAGTGGTGAGGATTCGGCATCGGTATGCGCCTGCTTCTGGTTGAGCTGCGTCTCAAGGCTGTATATTCTGTACACAGACTCTGTCAGCCCTCGATCTTACTAATACTTCTTGTTTCCTTCTGGAACGCGCCACGTACTGCTTCTTGAGGTTGCTGTAGGCAATGTAGTGGTTGCTCCAGTCCGGCACTGCATTGAACTGCAGGCTGTGGGAGAACTTCATCTCGTCGGCCTCGCGAAGCTGCTCGAGCTTCTCCCGTCGCTTTTGTTCCCTCCTGGTCTCCCGCCGTGTCTCTTTTGGGGATGTGGTGAGTTGTTGGAGCTCAAAGGCTTGGATGGGCGCAGCGTCACGGTAAGGGCTCAAGGCGTCCAGGGTGGAGGCTTGCGGGTTGTGGAGGAGCAGTGTTAGGCAGTCTTCAGCGCGAAGACGCTACGACAGGCAGGCTAGAGGGCGTAGTCGCAGGCGGTCAGGTGGCGTGCAGCACGTGGAAATGCGGCATTGAGATGTGTGGGATTGGCGCGGAACCTTTCTCGGCGCTGGCCTGAAGATGTGGATGCGCTTTCGTCACCGCACACCAGGGCCGCGCCGGAACACATGGGCCGGCCATTGGCCCTCCGCCGCGCTCCCGCACCCACACCTCCCACGCCCACACACTGTCTCGGAACACGCGACAGGTAGCGTCTTCGTGCACCATCACGCGCCTAAACCCCACGTCCATGGGAAGCAGCCTCCGTCTCGTCTTCAGTCAAGTTGGGTGGAACCTTTGCATGTCTTCGCGATGGCCCGCTCCTGGCCGCGGCTAGTCATTGCCTGCATCCCACCCATGCCGAAACCACTCGACCTGCATCATCGTTGCGCATAGCTCGCCCGCAATCCTCTGCGCCAATCACGCTTCAAAACGTGTGATATCTGGTAGATCGTCTGTTGAGCCTCACTTTGACCAAGACAGTTGGAGAATCATGTTGAAAATGCGTGTAGCGAACATTGCCTGAACTTTCATTCACTTTTGGGCTATATACAATCATTTGCCTGATGTCGCGTGAATAACATCACCGTTTAGACTGTAAAATGTTAGCAATGTTCAGTCATCTTGGATACTGTCAGACTTACACCTCAGGTCCCAGCCAATCTTGGGTCCTAGCTTGGGCAGCTCCTCCGCAACACTCTGCACGTCCTTGTCACCGCGTCCAGAGACACAGATGACAATGTCCTGGTCCTTGTTCATTGTCTTGGCCAGCTCAATCGCACCAAAGACGGCGTGCGACGTCTCCAGCGCTGGGATGATACCCTCGAGCTGGGACATCAGACGGAAGCCGATGAACGCCTCAGCATCGGTGCAGGCAATGAACTTGGCACGGTCGCTGTCCTTCCAGCTGGACAACTCTGGGCCAACACCGGGGTAATCGAGACCAGCAGAGACCGAGTGAGTCTCGCTGATCTGTCCGTGCTGGTTCTGGATAACGTATGTACGCACGCCATGAAGCACACCCTTGGTTCCAGCGGAGAGTGTTGCGCTGTGGCGGTCTGTGTCGATACCGTCACCACCAGCCTCAATACCGAGAAGCTTGACGGACATGTCCTTGGAGAAGGGGTAGAACATGCCCGCGGCGTTGCTGCCACCACCAACGCAGGCAACTACAGCATCGGGAAGCTTGCCACGCTTGGCCTGCATCTGCTCCTTGGTCTCGTTTCCGATAATCGACTGGAAAGTACGGACAATCGTAGGGAAGGGGTGAGGACCGATGGCGGATCCGATGATGTAGTGGGTTGTGTCGAGGTGAACGACCCAAGCGCGCATGGCCTCGTTGACTGCATCACGGAGGGTTTGCGCACCAGCCTCAACGGCAACGACCTGCGCACCGAGCAACTTGATGCGGAAGACGTTCAGGGCTTGACGCCTGACATCCTCGGCACCCATGTAGATGGTGCACTTCATGTTGAACTTGGCGCAGACGGTGGCTGTCGCAACACCGTGCTGGCCAGCTCCAGTCTCAGCAATGATCTCAGTCTTTCCCAATCTCCTGGCAATCAGTACCTGTCCGAGGGCGTTGTTGATCTTGTGACTTCCGGTATGGTTCAGATCCTCTCTCTTCAACCAGATGTTGGCACCTCCAGCATGTTCAGTGAGGCGCTCGGCAAGATGCAGATGTCCCGGTCTGCCCATCCAGTCGTAGTAAGAACGGTACTCTTCCCAGAACTTGGGGTCTTCGATTGCTGTGTTGAAACCCTCCTCGAGCTCAGATAGACAATCCATCAGGGATTCAGGCACATATTGACCACCAAACTCGCCGAATCGTGCGGGGAACTTGTGCTTCTCGTCAAATCCGTTCTGCTGGTTGGCTCCATTCGCGCCTTCCGTCTCATCAGTGTTGAGCATCTCCAATTGGTCGGCGAGACCGGGGCCATCTGGTGTGTCGGCATCCGTGATGACCTTGTCGACGTGCACGCCGGTGGGCTCCTTGGCCTCGTTCAATGTCTCGACAATGCCGACCTCACGGGTTGTCTCGCGGGTGCTCTTGCCGCAGATCTCGTCGCAGTACTTTTCAACTGCCTTTGCGCCCTCTCCTGCTGGAGCCTTGATCAATGTGTTGATGATCTGGGAACCGATGACGACACCCTCAGCGATCTTGCCCACGCTCAGGTAGTGATCGCGTGTGCTGACACCGAAACCGACAGCCGCCGGGACATTGCCAGAGTATTTGTGGACGCGCTCGAGAAGTTGAGGAAGAGCAGCGTTCATTGTGCCGCTTGCGCCGGTGACGCCCATACGCGATACGACGTAGATGAAGGAATCGGCGATTTTGCAGAGGACACGCATGCGGTGCTCGGAGGTAGCGGGTGCGATGAGGGGAACGTAGGAGAGACTGTCTTGTTAGTATTCGTCCCAAGCTCGTCTGGATGGTGTGCTTACCCGTAGCTGCGGCAGAAGTTCCTGAAGCGCAGGGCCTCCTCCGGTGGCAGGTCGACCATGATGAAGCCGTTGGCTCCGGCCTCCTTCGCATCCTGTAGCATCTTCTCCTCGCCGTAGCTGAGCAGCGGGTTGTAGTATCCCATGAGAAGGACCGGTGCCTTCAGACCCCGCTTCCTCGCGTCGCGGATCATCTGGAGGACATGGCCAATTGTGACGCCGTTCTTGAGGGCTTGCTATAGACACATGGTGTCAGGGAGGTTTTCCAAGGGATTGTGGCGAATGAGTCAACGTACAGTGTTGGCGGTCTGAATTGCTGGGCCGTCGGCAATGGGGTCGGTGAAGGGCATGCCGAGTTCAATAATGTCTGAGCGTGTCAATTGACTGTCGTCGCTTCGTTCGGGGAAGCAATTGCTCGTCCTACGTACCAGCACCTCCGGCCTCCATGGCCATCATGATGTCTGGTGTCTCCTCTGCGGTAGGGAAACCTGCAGTCACATAGGTGACGAGAGCAGACTACACGAATGTCAGCCTAGTCGTCTCTTCCTGGTCATGCCAGATCATACCCTGCCCTCCTTCTTGCATTGCGCAAACGTCTTCTTAATGCCGTCCATGTTGCTGAATACCGAGTCGAGAAGTTGGAGTGTGTGACAAAAGCACAAAGCCAGAAGCTGACTTCCTTATAGATGAAACAACTGTGAGTCACAGTATGGGCAGTCGTAAGGGTTCGCGGAGATATCGGGGTCTGGTATGAGTCTTGTGTTCGCAATTTATTGAGGGCCGAAGGCGGCGTAATGCCCCTCCTCTCCGGCATTAGCGGCTCAATGGGGGAAGGCGCGCGAACATCATTCCTTCTAGAAGCAAGTCTTACCAAACTCCACACTTTTTTCAACTCATACACGTCATTGCGAGACTCTTTTGTACATTACACTACCCAACCTCGTTTTACATACATGGAAACCCGGTACATTCGCTATATGTGTAGATACAGCATACCGCTCCGTCCTGACACCTCCCGCTTCGATCATTTGTGGCATCTGCAACCTTTCCGAACTTGGTTTTCATTCACCGTGCAGTCCCCATTAAACCAAGCCCCATAGCCGCATAGCTTCGTAAATCCCATGCAGAGATCGCAGACTGTGTCATCCTTATCTGTCCTTTGGCAGCGAAACACGCCAGGGACCTCTGAACCTTTCCTCCGGTTCCAGGCTTCGATCACATCTGCCACCATCTCGCCATATTTGTCATCCGTGTAACGCTTCCGACGGATCACGCACGTGCGGGGCTTCTCGTTGTCTTCGTCGGTCCACTTGAAAAACTCGTCGGACTCTGGGTGCAAGTCTCTCCACGGACGTATAGCAGCAGGATGGGTCCAAAGACAAGATCCGCACAGCCCTTCACCGGAGGTATCTGCGCGACATCCGGGTCTTTTTCCATACAACGGGCACGATTCCGATGGGTAGTTTGCCATGTTTCGTGAGAGTGGGTGGTCTGGGCTGGGCTTCGTGATGGCTGCAGCTTCGCTAACGAGTTGTGCGTTGACTTGTTGGGGGCGAATATGAGGAAGTATGAGAGGCTTTGTTAAAGAGGCCCTTAGGAGAGAGAGATATCTGCCAAAGGTAAATGTTCTGTTGTTGATAGAAAGCAGAACCGGAGCGAGTTTTGTCACTACAAACATGATGTCTAGTATGACTGGGAGTTGTGACTACTCAAAGGTTCAGTCATACATAGCGGTGGCATTGCGCCTCGCACGGTCTTCGCTAACATGATCTTTTCTAGAGGTGACCTCACCAAACACCACTCCATTTTCTTCCTACATACCTCATCACTCCTTCGCACAGGGCCATCGTCGTCGTTGTACGTACAAAACATTGACAAACCATACTTCGAAACGAAGACTGCGGTTCCTGGTTCTTCACTATGTAGAGCACATCCTAGACACATCGGCTGGGTTCATTGTCATGCTATATGTATGATCACGGAACATGTGGATGAGGATGACACAGGCACAAGTCACCGCTGGCCCGACTTATTCTTCGACTCGCGTTCCTCTCCCCTCCTCCGTGGCAGCATCTTTATCCTCCAACACAGGCTCCTTCTTGCCTTTACCAATGTACTCTGGCTCTGGAAGCAAGTGTTTGCCATCTTCCGAAAACATCTCTTTAACGGGATTTTGGCCTTGCAAATCAGACAGGCACTTGGCGCAGAGTTCCGCTTCGCCGTCCACATCATCGCATATGACGTAGTCAACAAGCACCAGGTCCTTATTTTCATGCGATCTTTCTCCGTTCATGTAACTCCTGAGATTCTTGATAAAGTTCACCCATTCGTTGTCACCCTTGTCGGCCCTGAAGCGTTTCTGCCGGAGGACGCACACGTGTTTACCGGGTGCCACTCGTTTGAGCTGGTCTTTGTACATATCAAGATATATGTCCTTCCGCGACTTCTTCATCGACTTCAACAACTTCGGGCGTTGCAGGGCTATCTGCTCGAGGTTCCAATACATGATTATTGGGTGTGTGTCCTTGCAGTAGGAACATAGCTCGTCGCCATCTTGCTCTGAATTCCTTTGTACGCAGATTTTGAGATCGTCGCCGCCGATAGAGCACTTTGGATTTGAAGTTGTCGACATTATACGATAGATGCTTGTGCAATGGGCAGGAGAAGTCTTCCGTATTCGAAAAGTCCGGCTGCTGTCTGGGGCAGGGTGGTGAGGGGGTTAGATGGGTGATGTGTAGTGTGACTTTTGTGAGCTGTATACTTCTTATACTTGCTCCCCAGTCATCGATGACTTGATAGAAACGCTGACTGCGAGCCTGTGACTATAGTACAACGAATGAAGCTTCGAGCTGTTGAGAGGGGCCTAGGGCTGAGCGCATGTGTCGTCGGTATGAATCAGCACCTAGAGTTGACTGTTGACATGAGCCTCGATCCAGCGAACGCATGCCATGTCTGCGTCAACCATGTACGAAGAACGTGGTGAGCTTTCCGACACAGTGACTTGCTAAGATTGCGTCGTCGCAAGTAACTCCTTCTGGCAGTGACTCTCACCGAAATCCGCTTCGTTCATCTTTTACAAGCTCAGTGCGAACTGCATTAATGCGTAGATGCTACCTTTAGCATTACAATAATGTCTATTTTGTTGCATAAGACAGCTTGCCGATGCTAGCCCTACATACACAGTCCACCATTACGACTCAGCGGGCTTATGTCTCCTTACGCGATCTTCGCCGAAGTGTTTATCAATGATCTCTCTACCGCCTGGCTTCTTTCGATAGTAGTCATAGTCGTTTGTGCAAATCTGATGCTTCTCAAGCACGCGCTGACAGCTTTCAAGATTGTCGCTTCCAGATCGCTCTTCCCACACAGCGGCCAAGTCTTCTTCCTTTGGCTCTTGCAGCATGTTACACGCGAAAGTAACCTCTCCATCCTCCGTAAACAGCGTCTTCTGCTGTTTCGATCCTTCTTCCTCAATAAACTCCTTGACCTTGTCGTCCTGGCGCATGACTTCGAGACACTCGTCGCAGAGTGCCATAGGGTTATCCACCAGCTTGCAGGCGATAATGTAAGGGTAGTTTAGATTCTTGCTTCTGTTGTGCGCTGCTCTTGCTACGAGTAGGTTATCGAACCAGCTGTAATCGTGGTCGAACTCTTCGATTTCAGTGTTATGAAAGTAACATTCATACTGCCCAGCCGGGGACTGCGGCAGCTCATATAAGAGCTGATCGTCGAGACTTTGATTGCGGACTGGATCGCTTGAGCCCTTTCCTAGCTCACGGCGATGCCCTCTTGCTTCGTCCAGGAGATATGTATGCTGTTTAACGCAATGCTTGCAAGGCTGGTCTGCCACTTGGTCCGGATCGGGAGCACATTTAGCCTCAGAAACGTTCTCATAGTACGCCCAGAAGGTGCAGCAAAAGTCTTTGCCGTCGATTTGCACTCCTTCTCGTGTTTCTGAGGCCATGTTGAAGGACTTGTTTGCTCGTCGTGGCTTCGAGGTAGGAATATGTGATAAAGGATAGATAACTCGATTTAATGGCTGGCTTTAATTTGTGGCGAAGTGTTCAAGAATGGCTTGAAGCTCTCGTTGTGTTGCTAAATAGCTAGACTGAGTTACATTGGTTACAGTGACACGGATAGTCATTGCGGGAGTCACTGTTGGTACGCACCGACTCCAACACTATGACCCCTTCGCAAGACCATCGTGCTCTATTACCACACCTCCTCCTCCTAGTCTGTCGCCCACGCCTAAGTCGCAATGCACTAATTGGCAGATGAACAGATTGCCACCGCTTCAAAATAGGGTAGCGCAAGCTTAAACGCGGTCAATTCAGAAAGCCCATATCGATTAGCAATAGAGTTCGCCTGCATGCCTCCAGACCAGAAGTATGAACACCGATAGTCAACCAGTTTCTAGTCCCATCCTGCGACAATGGTGGTTACCGAAACTCCGAGGAAAAAGCCGTTCAGAAGGGATGTAAGGTATGCTACTCCAAAGCTCGACTCAGCCTTGACTTTTACTGCTATGCGCCTACATCTGAGCGCTGCTACCAGCGGACACAATGTGCCTTTTGGGGTCCATCTTCGCGTTGGTATATCCCGGGGAGAATTGAACTTCTTTGTCTCGATGTGCTTGTTTTGCGAAGCGAGTGTAGCATCCAGTAAGTGAAACGGCTTGCGCCCCCCTTGCAATGTGCCGTTTCTTGTGTGTCGGTGTTGCTGTCTGGCTTTCCGATGCGGAGGAATGTGCTATAGGCACTAGTCGTGTCGTCTTATCAACCGCACTGTGAATACGATAAAGCTGTAAGGGGCGGCCTGCCTGTAGTTCCGTGCCAAAGGTGAGCACCAGAAGCAGTAGTCCTAGGTGTGGTACTGTCGCATGTTCGGAGAGATCATTCTCGTTCGTCGGTGATAAGCTCGTGTGCCGACCGGGGGCTATGATCGAGGTGTACGGAAAACGTATTGAGGGTACTCGACGAGCTGTTTGACTCAGATCGGTGCGTCGATAGCGCTGCGATCACACTCCATAGTTTCGGCGCAGTATACCCCACTCCGTGTCGAAGTACCGGCCAAACCCTCGAATCTCGCACATACGGTTGAAACACTTCTGGCAAAGCTGATTCCTAAACCTCGTCCTGTCACAGCGTCCGTCTCTCCTTGGATCCTTTTCCCAGCTTGGGTCTGCCTCACCCTGCTGATTCCGCGGTCCAATCTTCCAGTTACTGTCGACGGGCCGTCTTAATCGTGGGTCCTCAAAGACACACGGAAACCCCACTCGGTCACCATCGAATTCCGAAAGCCAATGGCAGGCTTGCTCTCGTGCTTTGCGGTAGCATCGTGCACACAGCTGTCCGCGATGCCGGACTGTGCCGCAGAGGCGAGGATCTTGGGGGTTGAAATCGTTGCGCCATGCTGAGAAGCGGAATTCTGGGTCTTTGCAGGCGCAGAGATACGTCCAGCCTTTTCTGATGCGTTCGGAGCTGTCGCGCTCAAGCTGGTGCATGTAGACATCGATGCGGTACCTCAGCAACGGCTTGTCTGGATGTGCTTCGGCCTGCTTGTACAGTGCGTCGAAGCTCATGTTCTTGCACCATGAACATATATCTGTTCCTTGTTCTTGTCCTCCTGGACGTGAGCCACAAGCGGTACCGAATGCACAGTGTGGCTTCGGCGGCGGTGCTAGCATGACAAGCAGGTCGTACAGTGGTACACCTTATCTGTTAGCGTGGCCGACAACCTAGCAGAGCGACTTACCAGGTCAGGTTCTGGTATGGCTTCAACTCGTTATTGTGTTGTAGCCTTCCACGTCATCGTCCGACTCCTCACTGCCCTCCTCCGAACCTGCCGACCTTGTCACCAGTTTGTCTGCTTCTTCATGGCATAGGCCCGTCGGCGTGAAGAACTGGGCGATTCTGATCTTCCGCAAACGCCTTCTCCAACACCTGGTACACGCAGTACCTTTCTTGCGGACAGAAGGGCAGTCCAGGCGAGTGCCGCGGAGGTTCAGGTCATGTAGTCGCCACCTGCAGTGCTGAAAATCCGGATCCTCAAAAGCGCAGAGATAGCGACCACGAGCTTCGATGTTGCGTTTCAGAGTGTGCTTGCGCGCAGTTTCTTCGTTGATGAGTTGCAAGGCAACAGTGTTGGCGTCAGCCCAAACTCGCAATTGTTGTGGATCGTGTCGTTGAAGACAGTCCGCGCAAACCCGATTTGGGACGTAGATCTTCTTGCCGATGCCGAGACAATGAGATCTAGAGACGCACTCGACAATCGGTGGGGGTTTGAAAGTGGATTCAGAAGCTGAAGCCATAGACTGGTACCGAACGTCAGCGGTTAGCTCAACGTCCTTGCATGTCGGCTTCTGTGATAGGGCGCACCCGGTATGTGCTCCTATGACGTTGAGATTGACATTCTTGCTGGTCGTTGAACATGATGGAAAGACATCGACTAGTTGATGCTTGCAGGCTCTGCGAGTTGCATTGACAGGTAATGGGGACGGTACTGGACGAAAGCGGGCTGTCGCCATCTCCGGTGACATGAGTTGCGACCAATGCAATCGAGTGCATGCTTTACCACACGGACGCTACGGGCTCAGTCATGGAAGCTTTTTGTGGCGTAGAATGTGTCCGATGTGTCGGTTCAACTGTTACTGGGCGGTGTGATGCGCTGATCATACTCGCTAGGCTACCGGCATGGTAACATGCCATGTGCCTGTGCCGATTGGGTACCACTCGTGTCCATCGTGTCAACAGTGGTGTTGCTGCGCTAACATGCAGCTATGATCACCATGAGGTATGAGACCCGACAAACCGGACAGGCCAAAGCGGAAGCTAAGCCACCGGCTAGCCCGTAGATTTGTGTAGCTGAACCGGATCTTGTCTACCACTCGTCGGGAGACGATGGTACTCATCTCATTCGTCAGCTGTGAAGAAATCGCAGCAGCGTAGAATAGACGTTACGTGTATTTTGGACCTCGAACGCTTGAAACCTGTCGTGATTCGAGGATGCTGTGATAAAGTTTCGCTTCGAGCATTCTAAACATGAGGAGATCATCGTGCACGGCCATGAGGTCCTTGCTAATGACCCCGATGAAGCCCAAGACGCTGACTCGTTCCGGTTCATCCGCCTCTTGATGCAACATGCTTTGCATCGTGTTCGAGACGCAGTCACTTCAACATCTGCTTTAGTCTTTGCAAACACTGTGTAACCGCGTACTTGCATTGGATCGACCCAGAGTAGAACTCTATCGGATATGCAGTTGTGACGCAATCTGGATCGGCAGTTTAGAAAACGACCTGTATCTTCCGCGATCCAACCTCATCTATGGAGGGTGATATTTGGCCGGTATGAGGTTTTCTGATCCGATACAACGGGTAAATGCGGTGTTTGGATGCCTGGGCCTGAGGCGTAGGTGTCAGATGACATGTGGTCCTCCTGTTCGTCTGGATTTTGCCAATGCGATGACGAATCTCTCTCAGACTGCACCCATAACCGTAAGTAGCCGTGTGGTGCCCAAAGAACACTAGACGTATAAGGCCTGCCTGCCCTTGCAATGGTAGTATGCGCTGGAAATGTGTGCAACACCGAGTCGAGCTTTCATATGCATAGACAGTCATTCGACATGGCATCGGATTTGACCGCAACGTACGTCGGCGAATGCGCATTACGCGTGCAGTGGTCCCAGATCGAGTCATCTAGTGTTAATCTTTTGAGCGAAAGGATGATGCACATCGATTCTTACAGCCGAGACAGGCCACATCTGGCGCACGACCAGCTTCATATGGAGTCAGTGGCTTGGTCACATGTCGTTCGCTCTGGGCGACCCGGGGCACGGGTAGGATATGATAGGGATCGAAACCCTGGCGTGCTCATCCGTTGATTCGTTACTGAAGCCCGTGGTGACTTTGATCAATAAACACCACTTTGCATCTCGCCAGAATCTGTCGTTGTGTTACGTGTAGCTGCGCGGTGTGGGAAGCAAGCACGCAGACATGCATGCTGCGACCTGCTGCGCCCGCTCGACATTCTGTTGTATCAAAGCTTAGTGGCCACGGAGATCGCCGTCCATAGAGCTCTGCTCAAACCGCAATGCTGCCAGATGACTGAAGGGTCGAACGGTCATCGAAGTATAATTATTGTGGATATACTACTCCGGAGATTGGGTCGTGCCGCGAATGATCGTGCCAAAGTCGACGTTCGGCATGATTCCACGGGTTCCCCATGGTTGGAAGCTATGAGGCGCTGTGCTGTAGCATTGTCGTCACATGTCGGCGAGGCTGGATCGCACGAATACACAGGGTGTACAATCCGTCCATCTGGGATCGTACGGGGCGAGCCCTGTTGTGGAAGCATCAGGCGTCGGCTACGACTCGGCGAGGCTGACCTCTCCAAGGTTGGCATGGACCCGCATCGCCTCAATCGAAGTGTGGCGGCTGGCGGCACTGCGCGAAAGTAAAATTGGAAGCTTGCTGGGGTAGCTGTCGAAGGGCTGTTCTGTCTTTGTTTGCGCCGAAAAAACGAACATCTGAAACCTCTTCTCACTAGCGTCCTTTAGCCTCGCGATCACCGACGCGTCTACGGTGCACCGACCTCGGGACGCGTGCACATCATTGCACGCGTAGCCAGCTTGCCACACACTCACACTCCAACCGGAATTACACAATTGGCGACGTCACCTTGGCCACCGCAGGACATCATCATTCGTCTCAGCAAGTGCGAGGCTGGATCATGTGGTCTAGCTTCCTTTCCCGAGCGCGTCCTACCCCTGAGAGAACAACACCTGCAGTGCAGTGCACGGTCGACACGCCGGAAGATGTAGCTGTATCGGTGGAAGACAGACATGTCGATATGTCGGAGTTGCAGCCGACTATTGTTCTCGACGATAGCGGCGACGCCACCCTATTGGTCGGCACCGATTCAGCTGGTCTCCAGCCGGTCCAGGTATCTTCGACAGCCATGACCTTG